GTTGCTAGATCAAGTGCGGAGGCTGAATATCGAGCTATGGCTCATGGTGTTGCTGAACTTCTGTGGCTTAGGACCCTTCTTGGTGAGCTTGGCATTAAAGCTGAGGGTCCTCTCAGACTGTATTGTGACAACAAGGCGGCCATCAACATTGCAAATAATCCAGTGCAACATGACAGGACAAAACATATTGAGATTGATCGACATTTTGTTAGAGAGAGAATAGTCTCGGGAGAACTTTGCATTCCTTATACTCCAACCGAGATGCAGATTGCAAATGTGCTGATTAAAGGGTTGGCTGCAACAAAATTCTTGGACCTTCTTGGCAAGCTAAACATGACTGACATCTATGCTTAGCTTGAGGGGGAGTGTTAAGTTGACTGTTGTTATGTATTGTTGGTTCAGCTGATAAGTGTACATGTTAGTTAGTAGTGGGTTTTAAGCTGTTAGGTACTGGGCCTTTGTTATTGGGCCTATTAGTGTTTTAAGCAGTCTGGGTGTCCCATCACTAATCAGGGGCATTCCAGACATTTCATGTAACACTATATTGTAATCTACTATAAATTATAGTACTGTCGACTGGGTTACTCAGTTCGACATTCTCAGCACTTGTTTGTCTTCACCTCTCTTCTACTACTTCAGCTACAATCTTTCAGCAAACAATTTCTTTTTGTTATTTTCTTATTTGTTTGGGTTCAATCAAGACACAAGTCAGTGACATAGTATTGAACCCTTTAGGACTTTAAAACCTGAATTGGTAAGTAAAAAATAACTTGAAGATTTTGTCCAATTGGCACACAAGAACAACCAATAGGACTTCTTCCTAGGACCAAAACAAGGGCTCAACCCTTATGTTTTGTATTTTACTTTCCTTTCTTATTTTTCTACTCATAAACATGTTGGCATTCTATCTATTGATATGGGGTTTATAGTTATTTTATGGTGATTATTAGTTAAAGATCACTACTTGTTACTATAAAACCTAGGAATCTACCCTAGGATTTATATATTTTTTATTTTAAAAAACTCATTGCCAAGACACCCACCTAGGAGGCTAAGTGACAAGGTGCTCCCCTATCACATATTGCAGGCTCACCAAAGAAACAATATTGTATGACCATCTATGTTACCTAGAAATGGCAAAGGCTGGACACAGTATCGGATCAGGAATTTACATTAAAAATTTCAGTATCCGATACAATATGGCACCCTTGTAGAGGTATCTGGGTATCATAGATGGACATGACACAAGTTTCATCATATTATACTGAATTCTGTAATGAAAAGTAAGAAAGAATAAGAAATTCAAACCATTGAGTGGTTGGGCCCATAAGTGTTCATTGCTTGCTCTATTGCAGAACGTATTTCAAGAGCCTGTTGAGTTTCACGGTTGCATTTGATAACACGGGTCTGTTCCTTTGAGTCTGATGATTTTGTCTTTAGATAGAGAATAAGCTTTGAGGGTGGAGATCTCTGGTTGTCTTTCTTTCTGTGTGCCATTTCAATTCTCATGAGGTCATTCCATAAGACATCCCACAATACTGAACATGGATCTCTTGCAGGGTTGAACTTCCTCTGGGCCACAATGTTAGAGGGTTGCTGAAACAAATGGCTGAAAACTTCAGTTGAAGCTCTATCAATTTCTTTCTTTCCTTAACAAAGAAACAATTTAGACCTACTTGCAATAGTATGACTCTTCGATGGGTGACTACACTTATCTTTCCTTTTGGAAGTAAGAAGTGGTCTTCATATGCGTCTGACAAAGCAAATTTCCCCCGAACTTTAAAGAAATCAACTTGAAGAAACAATGTACCAGACTGTGCCAGTTGTAGGATAACCTTCATTGCACAATAACAGAAAGAAGGTTAGAGCTCATTCTTCACTCTTAATATTAATATTTACTTAATTAACAACTATGAATTACACGAGTAAGAGCAGGTGGCCATGCAGTTATATCTCTAGGAGTCATCTCATGGGTGGAGATAAAACAACCATTTAAATTAAAGGAATATGTTCATATAATATCAAAAGTTTCATATTGAAAGAAAAATACAACTTCTGAACAACATTTTTGGCACTAGCTGTTGAATTCTTCTGAAAATATTTGATCTGTTTGTTAGCAGTTTCTCTTGGTTTCAAGTGTATGGAAGAGACGAAATTTCCTACTTTGTTAGAGGGGAGGTTTTATATGTTAAAAATTTGAACTTTTGATAAGAACAATACATGAAAAAACGTTCACATATACAATAACAATCACAATAATTAAGGATCATTAGAAAACTAAACATTGCCAAATTGCAAAATTAAGCCAATGATGCGATTACTGAATATTTAGTACACTATTTTCTGGGTGCTTTTATCTGACACCTTTAGGGGCTTTTACAGTTTTATTTTTCTTCCATTCAAGAAAGATGGAACTACTGGGAAGTGGTTTTGGAGATTCCCACTTGAACCTTGATACCTGTATCATGCAGTAATCAGAACCAGATTTGGCATTCAAAAATATGGATGGGAGTCTGGACCCACTAGAAGGGTGACGTTGCCCATGGAAAGCCATAAGGCAACTCATGCGGACTTTATCAAACACTTCAAACTTGATCTTATGAAAGGTCATAAAGTCAGATTTTTGGAAGATACATGGTGGGGTGGAGCCATGGAACAATTTTCCAACTTCGTGTGAGGAAACAAAAAAAAGGTAATAGTAAATAAATAAAACAATAGATGAACTTGTTGCTTACTCACCTACTGGTGTTTCTTGGGACTTTGAATTTAGGAGGAATTTAAGGGATTTTCATCAACTTAGGGGCCATTTGATAACAACTGAAGTTGCTGAACTGAATGACTTATTTCTTTGTCTTTTTGTGGATATAATAAATAAGTAGTAAAATATTCAAGTTATAGCAACCTATACAATTTCAGCTTCAGCCATTAAGGAGCCCCCAACCTGCTTAAAATCTTATTCACTAAGCAACAAAGCAATAAATTTTTCAGTTCATCAACTTCAGCTGTTATCAAATGGCCCCTTAGAGATGTTTCTTACTTCAAGAGGGTCAAGACAATAGAGTTTGAACTTACAGCCAATTGGACTTCTGTTATCAAAAATCCCCTTAGAGATGTTTCGGCTATCTCTCCTAATCAAAGATGTATGGAATTAGACTGCCAGCACATTGTGGGCTAACTCAGAAATAACTTTGTTGTTGATTCCATCTTTTTGCAAGTTTAAATTGAAACTAACTGGTTAGTAGTAGCAAGTTGAATGCTAATACCTGTCCCTGTGCTTTGTACTCATCATATGGGCGGAGCAAATTATCACCACTAATTACTCGAGGTAGCCTCCTGCGTAGTAGTTGTTCGTCTGATGTTATAGCAGAAGCTATTTTCATTCTCATTGCATTTGCACCTTCAGTAGTTTTTGACAAAAGATCCAGGACCCCACTCACTGGTTGTGCAGCTGCACCTATTAATCCTTTACCAACACCCTGAACAAAACCCTCAACACCAGATGATTTTGCTCCTTCAAGAGGCTTTGTTAAGATGCCAGTGACTCCTCTGAACAATCCTTTGGCTAGGGCCCCACCCCCCTCTCTGATAACATCACCAATGTCCTCCACACCTTTGCTTTCCTGGAAAAATAATGACAAATTAGTAACATCACCAGTTTCTTTCCCACGCAGGGAAATTGGAAGTACTATCCACCTAGAAGTTGATCACGATAAAATGTTTAGCCAAATAATGACAGTGACTTGAAATAGAAGTTTCAACCCAATCAAATGATCATAGACTAGTTTATAATTACAATCCATTGAAATAGAAATTGAAATGGTTACAAATAACAAACATCTAGCAATCTAGTGGCTAAAACTACTAGTTTTCTGGTACCAACACTAGCATGAGTTGCTTGTATATAGTCATTTTGACATGATCTTTCAGTCCAATTTGATGAGGCAAAAAAATGTGTGAATGTATTCTGTTTTGCATTTTTTTTTTGTAGTGGGATTCCAAATTGTTGTCTTTGGGTAGCTTTGTTGACAGTTTGGGACCAGGGGTATTTTCGTCATTTTATAAGTCAGATATTTGGCCAGGGGCAGTTGGGTGCATTTCTGTTGGGTTTTAGCTTGCTGCCGTTGTTACTGTAGCAGAACTGTTCCAGGAGGAGTTATACTTCAGGTTCAGGTCTGAAATCCCTAAAAATCCAATTTGTTTGTTGTTTCAACTTGGTATTTCTTGTGCTTATTGCTATATACTTGAAGTATTGCATGTAATTTGTTTTTCTGTCCACAACAAGTGGTATCAGAGCAAGTTCTTTCCTTGGGTTTGCTTCAAAGTTCATTCCTTCTTGTGTTTTTCTATATTATCATGGCTGCAAGGGGTGGACGTGGTAGGGGTGGTAGAAGACATAGTTTTCAAGGCGCCAAGGCGAGGCTAGGCGACATAGGGGCGCCTTGTTGCCTAGTCGCCTAGGCGATGGATTTTTTTAAGTGAAAAATAAATATCCTAGGTAGTTCCCTAGGTTCCATAACCATATTTCCTTAATAACTATCCATAATTCTCATAAGAAAATTATAAACTTCATGTTTATGTCTAGAAAATTAACATATTTATGAGAAGAAAAAGAAGAAAGAAAAGAAAATTCAATAAACATGGGGATTGAACCCCTATTTTTGTTATAGGAAAAGAAGAAAAGAAAAGGTGGAAAAGAAGAAAAGAAAAGAAGAAGTCTTTGAGGGTTCAATACAGCAGTTAGCAACGTTTGTGTTGATTAAACCCTAACAAATAAGAAAATAATAAAAAGAAATTAGTTTATAAACACAAAAAATGAATATTTTTGTTTAATAATGTCTATTTTATAATTACAATCTCAAAAAAGTAACAATATAAAAGTATTTTATAAGACAGTAAACAAAAACTGCTAGGCGACTGGCTCACAAGCCTTTTCAAAGCAAATCTGAAGAGTGGATACCATCAAATTCGTATCCAAGAGGGGGATGAGTGGAAGATTGCATTCAAGACTAAGAAAGGTCTTTATGAATGGCTGGTTAAGCCATTGGATTGTTTAATGCTCCTAGCACATTTATGAGGTTCATGAGCCAAGTTTTAAGGCCATTTATGGGGAAGTTCGTGGTACTTTATTTTGATGACATACCCACAACAAAGATCATGACAGCCACTTAGAACATTTGAGAACAATCTTAGAAGCCTTGAGACAAAATCAGCTATATATAAATTTGAAGAAGTTAATTTTATGACCGATTGGTTGGTGTTTTTGGGGTATGTTGTTTCAGCCAAGGGGATTGAGATGGATAAAGAAAAAGTTCAAGCTATTCAAGAGTGTCCAACACCAAAGACCTTATCTGAAATTGGTAATTTCCATGGCTAGCAACATTTTATCGTTGGTTAATAAAGAATTTCAGCACTGTTGTGGCACCCATTACTGAATGCTTGAAAGGAGGTGAGTTTACTTGGACTCCCGCAGCTGAGAAAAGCTTCCAAGAGCTAAAGATGAGGATGGCGAAGGCTCTGGTATTGGCTTTACCTGATTTTAACAAGCTCTTTGAAGTTGAATGTGATGCATCCCATGTTGGGATTGGAGCTGTCCTTAGCCAAGAAGGCCGTCCAGTTGCTTACTTTAGTGAGAAACTCAATGATGCTAGAAGGAGGTATTCCACATATGATGTTGAGTTTTATGCCATTGTGCAAGCGCTGAAGTTTTAGAAGCACTATCTTATCCAACGGGCGTTTGTATTGTATTCAGACCATGAAGCATTGAAGCACCTTAACTCCCAACAGAAGATAAAAAGAAGATATGCTAAATGGGTTGACTTTTTACAAGAATATAATTTTGTTTTGAAGCATAACGCTAGACAACAAAACCGGGTAGCTGATGCTCTTAGTAGGAGAGTTCACTTGGTGTCAACAATGTCTACTAATGTTGTGGGATTCAGCTCCATCAAAGACCAATACCAAGATTACCCTTATTTTGGCCCTATTTGTAGAAGCTATACAACAGGTGACAAGGATATTCGAGCCAAGTTTGTGTGGAATGATGGTTACTTATTCATGGGCAATAGGTTATGTATTCCATTAGGATCCTTGAAGGCAAACTCATTACTGATTTTCATTACAAGGGACATTATGGTTGCAAGAATACACTTGAAATGGTTTCCAAAAGGTACTTTTGGCCAATGCTACAAAGGGAAGTGTTCTATTATGTTGATAGATGTCACAAGTGCCAAACATCTAAGGGGCAGCATTAAAATACATGTTTGTATCTTCCCTTACCCATACCAGAAGAACCATGGACTGATATTACTATGGATTTTGTGTTGGGGTTGCCAAGAACAGCTAGGGGTAATGACTCTATTTTTGTTGTGGTTGATCGTTTCACTAAAATGACCCACTCTATTGGTTGCCAAAAGACTTCTGATGCTTCTCATGTAGCTAACTTGTTTTTCAAAGAAGTTGTTCGGTTGCATGGATTGCCAAGATCTATCACATCAGATCGTGACACAAGATTCCTCAGCCACTTTTGAAGAACTTTATGAAAGCATATGGGTACTACCCTACAATATAGCAGTACATTTCACCCACAAACCGATGGACAAACTGAAGTGGTTAATCGAAGCTTAGGCAACTTGTTGAAGAGCCTAGTTGGAGACTACTTAAGGCAATGGGATCTTATCCTACCACAAGCTGAATTTGCCTTCAATGATTCAGTTAATAGATCTACAGGGAAGACTCCTTTTGACATTGTCTACGATCGGTCACCTAAAAGTGTTGTTGATCTAGCTCCTATAACAGGGTTGCAACGAGTGAGTGATGATGCCAAAGCTTTATCTGAATCCATTCGAGAGATTCAAGAGAATGTACGACAAAAGCTGAAAGAAAGCAACCAAAGGTATAAAGAAGCTAAGGATAAGCATCTCTGGATGAAAGAGTTTCATGAGGGCGATCTAGTCATGGTTTATTTGCGGCCAAAGAGGTTTCCTATTGGGACCTACCGTAAGTTGAAGCAGAAAAAGATTGGTCCATGTCAAGTGTTAGAATGTTAGAGTTATGTTCGGCTGATAAGTGTTCTTATTAGCCCATTCTTATGTTTAACTTATCTTGTAACTGGGCTTGTGTTAATGGGCCAAATCCTGTTTAATGATTTAAGTCATCTGGGTGTCCCATCACTAATCAAGGGCATCCCAGTAATTTCTTGTAC